GAAACACACAGACACAATTAATTCTCGATTCCCCTGAAAATATGGGAAAATATGGGAAGTGGGCGGGAAGACAAAAACCCAGAAAATATTTGAAATATGACAATATTTTAATTTCTGTGAATTTACTTGTGTGTCCCAGGGCCCCTTCATCCACGCCCTGCAGCACCTCCTTGACCTGTAGAAGAGAAACACGGGCTGCCCAGCCCCCCCCCTGTGTGAGCCTGCCCGTGTACATGATGCGTCTGCTGCCAGCGGCGGAGCTTGCCGCCCGTGCGGGGGCCACTCCAGGCAGAGACGACATCGATCGGGGCCCGACCCATATGCTTGAGGAGGTCCACCTCGTCCGTGCCTATGGCATCAACGATGATCAAGTCATCGTCCGCGCCCTGGCCAACCGAGCCTCGGGGCTGCATCATCGACCACCCGCCCGTCCCCTCCACGCTGCTGAACGCGACCATGCTCGAGCTCTTGACCTGGCGCATCGGCGCGTGCAGCCCCTTGACCAGCTCCGGGCTGAACCTGGCATCCTTTTTTTTACCTACAAACGGCCAGGCAAGAACTACGCAAGACCGCCTGCTGCCTTAAAAGGGTGACCACGGAGCGAGGCCCGGCGGCCGCTGTGGATTACCCTACAGCTTTCACGCCGATGCCAGGGAAAGCGGATCAAGGGGCTGAACCTGACATCCTTGATGAACGGCGCCCACCTGCCTTGGAGAAGATCGTGGGTCCCAGCGTCCCCGAACTGAGGACGAGGGTCGTTTGCACCCGAACTCCCTGATGGGCTGCCTTGGCCACGCCAGCGCAAAGACGGCCGACATCTTCACGACTGCCTGGGCACCAAAGAGCAAGTCCACGGCTGGATAGCCAACGGAGCGTCCTCTCCATAGTCTGCCCCCCTGCAAAAGCTTGCCCACGATGTCGCGCGCCTCTGGAGGCTTCGCTAAAGGGTGACCCGGGAGAAAGGGGTCACGGGAGCGCAGCACGCTCGAGAGGTCCAGCGTGCAGACGCTCTCGGTGTCAAGCTCACGCATGATGTGTGCTAATACCCCTGCCTCGGCCTCCGCCCACCGCGGAAGCCGATCCTTGGCCATCTGCATCTTCTTGCGCTCTTTCTGCACATCCCGGAGCTCCGTGAGGCACTGGTTCTGCGTATCGGCCACCTCGCATAACCACTGCGCCCTGAGACCCTGCTCAGCAGGCTCTAGAGTAGTGTCAGAGATCGCGCCCGGCAGGTCGTTCAAGAGACCAGCCCTACGCAAGATGGTCGTTTTGCCAGGCCTTGGACCTTCAAACTTGCAGAGGCCAAACTTGTCCCAGCCGTTCTTCGCGTCCATGTGGAAGCCGAGCAGCTGCAGGTCCTCCAGGATCTGCCCCCCAGAGGCACAGCGGGCTCCTCCACTGCTGGGGTGTCGACAGCCATGTAGTCGATGAATTCGCGCGTCGCTTTGTCGTACAGTCGGGGCGTTGACCTAAGGAACCCAAAATAAGGAACGAGGACCCTTTTTTCCATGTTAGACTTCGATTTCCGATCGAGCACCAAAGGAAAACCCGAGGCAAGCTGCGAAACACTGAAGGAACGCGGAGCCCCTCCCCAACGAAAAGGGTTCCTTCTGCAGGGCCCCGACTGTAGTTGGAGCGCACCGCGGCGCCCTGCTCACCACCCCGTGGAGCCTAACTGGCCAAGCAGGAGTCCAGGTGGCGAGACCGGGGCGGCCACGGGTGCCCCGTGGAGCCCGGGAGCGCCCGCCAGCAGAGGAAGTAGGCGGTGCAAAAGGTGAAAGGCAGACGGTTTGAGCAGGCAGACGGCTAACAGTAATAGCAGTGAGCATGATGGCAGGATATGATTATTGTACGAACACACTACGAGCGCCAAGAAAACATAATCACATCAACAACAACAACAACAACAACAACAACAACAACAACAACAACAACAACAAAAAACAGCAACAGCAATGAGAACAACAGAAACAGCAATCATGATAATGACAATGGTAATCATCATCATCATCACCATCATCATCATCATCATCATCATCATCATCATCATCATCATCGTCATCATCATCATCACTACCACCACCACCACCATCATCATGATAACCATCACCATCATCACCATCATTATCATCATCATAGTCAGCATCGTAACGATCATCATCATCAGCAGCAGCATCGTCATCATCGTCATCGTCATCTTCGCAATCGTCACCGGCATCGTCAGCATCATCATCATGAGCATCACCATGACCATCGTCATCATTAGCTGCATCATCATAACCACCAGCATCATCACCATCATCATCAGCATCTTCATGACTGTTATTATTCGTCATCGTCGTCATCATCATCATCATCATCATCAGCATCATCATCATCAGCATCATCATCATCGTCATCTGCATCATCACCATCATCATTGTCAGCATCATCACCATCATAATCAGCATCGTCATCATCGTCATCGTCACCGTCATCATCATCGGCATGGACATCGTCACCGGCGTCAACCTCATCGTCATCGTCATCATCACCACCATCATCATCATCATCATTATCATCGTCGTTGTCATTGTCATCATCATCATCATCGGCATCACCATCACTAGCATCAAGATCGGCATTAGCATCAACAACATCATCAGCATCATCATCGCCAACGTCATCAACATCCGCATCCTGTCATCGTCAACAGCATCACCATCATCGTCAAATTGTCATCGGCATCGTCATTATCATCGTCACAATCAGCGTCGTCATCATCACCATGATCATCATCATCATCATCATCATCATCATCATCAGCATCGTCATCATCAGCAGCATCGCCAATGCCAGGACCATCTTCATCATCATCATCGACATCGGCATCATCAACATCACCACCATCATCAGCATCATAAGCATCATAAGCATCACCATCACCATCAGCATAATCATTACCATCATCATCATCGTCGCCAACAGCATCGTCATCGTCGTCATCGTCGTCATCATCAGCATGACGATCACCATGATCTTCGTCAGCATGATCATCATCCTCACCATTATTATCATCATAAGCAGCACCATCATGATCAGCACCATCAGTATCATCATCAGTATAATCAGCATCGTCAATCATCATCGTCGTCAACGTCATCGTCATCGTCGTCATCGCCATCGTCATCATCAGCATCACGATCACCATCATCATCGTCAGCATCATCATCGTGAGCATACTGACAGTTATCAGTATCATCAGCATCATCATCAGAATCATCATAACTATCATCAGTATCATCATCATGAGCGTGAGCGCCAGCGTCATCAGCGTCATCGTCGTCGCCATCATCAGCGTCACGATCACCATCATCGTCAGCATTATCATCAGCAGCATGATCATCATGATCAGCATCATCAACATCACCATCACCATCATCATGGTCAGCACCATCATCATCATCATCATCATCATCACTATCATCGTCATCATCCCCATCATCCTCCCCATCATCATGATCGTAATCATCACCAGCAACATCATCATCATCGCAATCAGAATCAACATCGCCATCATCTTCGTCACCATCATCATCATCATAAGCATGATCATCATCATCATCATCATCATCATCACAATCGTCATCATCGTCGTCATCGCCATCGTCAAACTCATCGTCAGCATCACCATCAGCAGCAATAGAATCATCATCATCATCATCATCATCATCATCATCGTCATCATCACCGTCAGCCATGGCATCGTCACCACCATCATCATCATCATCATAATCATCATCGTCACCACCATCATCATCATCGTCATCATCATGATCAGCAGCATCATCATCATCAGAATCAACATCACCAAAACCACAACCACCATCATAATCATCATCGTCATCATGATCATCATCATTGTCATCACCACCATCATCATCGTCGTCGTCACCACCACCACCACCCTCACCATCATCAGCAACATCATCAACATCAGCATCAGAATCATTAGCATCAACATCATCAGCAGCAGCGTCGTCATTGCCATCATCACCACCAGCAGTAGCATTGTCATCATAAGCAGTATCATCATCAGTATCATCGTCAGCGTCATCACTATCGTCGTCATCGTCCTTGCCATGGTCATCATCAGCATCATCATCGTCGTCATAATCATGATCATCATCATGGTTTTGATCATCATGGCCATCGGCATTATCATCATCAGCATCATCGTCACCCACACGGTTATCATCATTTGCATCATCGTCATCATCACCATCATCATCAGAACCATCATCACCACCGCAAGCATGACCATCATCATCAGCAGCATCATCTTCGTTATTGTCATCGTCATCATCAACATCATCGTAATCAGCATCATGATTATGATCAGCATCGTCATAATTACCATCGTCATCATCACCATCATGTTACACGTATCATCATAAGCATCATCGTCATCGTCATCATCATCAGCATCATCATAATCATCATCAGGATTATCGGCATCATCGTCATTGTCATCATCATGTTCGTAATCGTCATCCGCATCATCATCACAACCACCACCACCACCATCATGATTGTCATCAGCATCATCATCATAGTCATCATCGTCATCACCAGCATCATCATCATCATAATCGTCATCGTCATCGTCATCATCACCATCATCGTCATCATCATGAACATGATCATCATCATGTTCGTCATCGTCATTAGCATCATCATCACAAACAAAAAACCCAACATCATCATCATCATCATCGTCATCGTCATCATTTCATCATCACCACCATCACCACCACCAGATCCACCACCATCATCATCATCATCATCATCATCATCAGCATCATCATCATCATCATCATCATCATCATCATCATCATCATCATCATCATCATCATCATCATCATTACTACTATTATTATTGTTATCATCGTCATCATCCCCCCCTCCCCCCACGATGGTTCGCTCCTGCCTGCCCCAGCTGACCCCGCGCTGGGCCGAGCCTCGTGCACCTGCGCCGCGGTCGGCACCTTGAGGCCCTTCGGGAGCTGCGCCTCGGCATCGGCCGAGGTCAGGTTGCCCGGGAGCCTCGCCGTCAGGTTGCCCGGGAGCTCCGCCTCCGGGATGTGCAGCGCCTTCTCGGCCTTTCGCGGAGCGCGGAAAGGAACAGGCACGGGCAGCCACGTGCGTCAGGAGCAACGTCAGGGGGGGGGTGGAGTGGCTCGGGCGGGGAAACCTCAATCTGGAATCTGCGAATCATCGGCAATAGATCAGCGATAGGCCCCCGACAGCGAATACGTACGGTCATGGGCGGGGCGGGGCAATTGGCAATGAATTGGCGACTGGGGGCCGATTTGCACCGGTGGCGTTGATCAGTGCAAGGTCAGAAATCGCGAGCGGGTATGAGCGCCAGAAAAAAACAACGATAAGCACATGTGTCAAACCTACTCTTCTGGAGGGTCGGCCTTCCAGAGCAAATCCGCTCCAATGAAGGGGCCCTGGGACACACAAATGAATACACACAAATAAAAAGATCCCCCATATTTTCCCATATTCCCTGGGTTTTTGTCTTCCCCCACACTTCCCAGATCTTCCCATCTGTTCCTGGGAATCGAGGATGAATTGTGTCTGTGTGTGTTTTTCCCCTCCTGACAGATGTGTGTCAAACCTACTCTTCTGTCGGCTACACCTACCTAAGAGTGACCCTGGGTAAGAGTGACCTTTGGTGCGCGGCTTTTGGGGGGCCGCGGGGAGGCCAGATCCAGGCGCGCTAGCCGCTGCTGCCGCTTCGCGATCGGCCATCTGGGGGCCCATCTGTGCCCGCACCAAAGGTCACTCCGGCGAAAGGTCACTCTTACGTCTAGTCGATTCTGGAGGGTCGGCCTTCCCGCGCAGATCCGCTCCGAAGTCCACTTCCCATAGTTTCCAATAGTTTCCTGGGAATCGACGATAAATTGTGTCTGTGTTTTTTCCCCTCCTGACAGATGTGAGTCAAACCTACTCCTCTGGAGGGTCGGCCTTCCCGCGCAGATCCGCTCCCAAGTCTGCCTCCCCGGGCCCCTCCCGGGGTCGAGCCGACCGGTGCTTCGAGCCGCGTGCAGCCGAGGCGAGCCGCGGGGGCCACGCTGGGTCGCACGGGCCTGCTTGCCGGCCTGGAACACATCCCTATCCCTATGCAGGGCACCTCCTCATCACGATGCCAGTCTTAGGGATTCCCTTTTTCATATCTTTCTCGATGAAGACACAGCAGCTGAGGGCCCCTTAAACGCGACCCGGGGGCGAGGAGCCACCCAGACTTTCGGCGACAGCCGAACGCCTTACGTGCACTATGGTACCAGTCCTCTACTCAAAAGCGTTCTGACAGAGCCTGCGGGGCCATTTCAAGTTTTTGCTTCCGTCCTTGTAGGGATTCCCATATTTTTCGAGGGCGAATCCCTGAGATTGTCATCGCCTTTTGGCGTGTCAATCTTAGGGACAGGGGTACGTTCGAGGCTGGTGACAGGCGCGCCTGCGAGCGACTGCCCCTGACCCAGGCGCCCTGGGGGGACGGGGGGAGCTATCCCGCCGGCGAGATCGGCAGGAAGTGCCGCTAGTAGTTGGGGATGAGGAGGAGGAGGAGGAGGAGGAGGAGGAGGAGGAGGAGGTGGAGGAGGGGAGGAGAGAGAGGAGGGAGGAGGAGGAGGAGGAGGAGGAGGGAGGAGGAGGAGGGGAGAGGAGGAGGAGGAGGAGGAGGAGGAGGAGGAGGAGGAGGAGGGACAGAGAAAAACGAGCGCGGACCGAACAAAAACGGGGCCCCCCTCCTGGCCAGAGCCAGTGCTAAGCCACCTCGGTCCCCTCCGCTCCCCCCCCCCGCCGGCGCGCCGCCGAGGCCTCCTTCCTGGCAGCCACTGCGAGTGCCAGCTCCGTGCTCCGCACCAACTTCAGCGGATCGGGCGTCGAGAGCGCCTGCTCCGCCGTTGAGGCGGCATCCTTCAAGGACGACTCCGCCGAGCGCTCCGCGCTCTGGAAGCGCTCGCCGGCGCGCGCCAACCTGCCCTCGTCGATGCCGTACACGGCATGCACGAGCTTCTTCTCTCCGACCGCCGCTCCTCTGGAGGGGCAAGAGCCTGTACAAATCTAGACTGTCGAAGCTCCGCACGGATTGCTTGGATCGGCGCTGGCCCCCGCCCCCCCTGTCGCGCGAAGCGCACCCCGAGGGGGGGGCGCTGGAGGGCGCCGCTAATTAGGGGGGGCCACCGCGCGGAGCTCCGAAAGAACAAATGCCCGTATGGAATGCTTGGTTGCTCCGTCCTTGGAGTCCCTTGTCGGTGAGCTTCTGGCCCACCTCCTTCATCCCCTCCCGGCGGAGTCGCTCCAGGCTCTTCGTAATGTTGCCGAGGTCGATGGTGCCGTTTGGCAGCCTGACTGGGCGAGCGGCCTGCTTCTCGGCATCGCTGGCACTGTCCTCCCGCCTCAGGATCTGCAGGCCCTCCTCGGTCCTCAGGGACATCCACGCCATGATCGGCACGTCGATTTGCACGCGCCGCCCCTCGCGCCGCGTCACTCGAATCAGGGTGTGCGCCGCGATGACTTCCACCAGTGGGGACTGCAAGGAGCGTCCCTCGCGAGCGACGGTGTCAGTCAGCACGCGATACCAGCCGCACGAACTACAGTCGACCTGGTCGGTGCCATTGCCGCCGGCCGCCTCGTGACCCACGGGTGTGTGTGCGTCCCTGCCTCCCCTGGAAGAATTGCCAAGGACGGCGGCACCCACCTGGTGGGTGCCGCTGCCGTCGGGCGCCTCCTTGCCCGCGGGGGGGCCCGAGCCCCTGGCTTTTGCCACGGAGGAGTTGTCTGGGGCATGGCCCTCCGCCTTGTCGGAGCCGCCGCCGCCGGGCGCCTCCTTGCCCGCGGGGGCGCCCGAGCTGCCGTGCGGCCTCCCCCCGTCAGAAGAGTTCCTCAGGACGGCGGCGTCCCAGATTCCGGCCGCGGAGGAGCGCGCATCCTCCTCGCGGCGCGGCTCGCTCCTGCCGCCGCCGCTGCGGTTGCCCGGCCTCGCCTGGCCAGCAGGCTGGCCGGCGCCCGGGCGGAGCGGCGCCGAAGCGCCCCGGCTGTCGCCGCTGCGCTGGCCCTGCGGCTTCGCCGCGGCCGAGGCCCGGCCTCCGCCTGGACTGGGCAGCGGCGCGGCGCCCTGGAGCTCTTCGATGCTGGCGCGCAGCTGCGCGATGCTCTCGTCGAGGGGGGCGATGACGACGCTCTGGGGCACGCCAGCCTGCACGAGCTCCTGCGGGGGCGCGGGGAGGTGGCCAGCATCACCACCCAACTCCCGACGGCACCATGTGGTCGGCGGAGGCACAGAGGCGGACAGCCCAGGGGCGCCTCGTCGACAACATGGGCAATCGGAGCCCTGCCCTGTAAGGCGTGAGTGGCTCGAGGTGTCAAAGCGCACAGAAATGGCAATGGAGAACAAAAACAAAATCACGCATTCGATTGAGGTTTTGGCCGCAGTTTGACCTCCTGGGGGGGGGGCCAAATTTGGAGCGGCCCATCCTTTGGTCGATCGCCTCCGAGACGGCCCCATGATAGCCCCCGAGGCCCCAAGGACGCCCCAAGACGGCCCAAAGAGGTGCCCGGGAGGCCCCAAGAGACCCACGAGAGGCATCCGAGATGCCCCAAGAGACCCCCAAAAGACGCCCCAAGAGGGCCCCCCAGAGGTACCCAAGACGAGTCGAAAGCAAGATGGTAAGCCGAACCGTACACTACGCCTCAAGCGCCCCCATGGCCCAACCATATTCTTTGTCAGCAGCGCAAAGGGTCCTCAGGCACAAGCAGCAGATGGAAGTGTGAACGGCAACAGTCCGCGCAGTGGCATCGAGCCACGTAGGATGACCTCGTAGCGAAACTCGTTGCCACGTGGCTCTTGGTGCTGATTGGGAGCCGTGGCGCACACGCAGTGGTCGACGTGACCGTCGACTGCTGTATCGTCACAGGTGAGCCAGCGGCCTGGTTCCGTTCCGCAAAGACACGAGGGCGCAATAAGAATCCGCCGACCCCTTGGGCATCATCGGCGTGTGAGATACTTCCCCCTCCCCAAACCCCTCCCCCGGGAACCCGGTCCGGTCGATTTGGAGGGGGGGGGGGGGCCCACCACGAGCGACTCACGACGCTTTTCCGGGCCCAAAAGGGCCCAAATACGGGCCAAGAAAACCCCAAGAGGCCTCCCAGACGTCCCAAGAGGCCCCCAGACGCCCCAAGAGACCGCCCAGACGCCCTAAGAAGCGCCCAAGAGGCCCCAAGAGGCTTCCAAGACGCCCCACGAGGGCTCCAAGACGCCCGAAGAGACCTCCAAGACGCCCCAACAGACCTCCAAGAGGCCCCCGAGGAGCGCCCCAAGAGGCCAAAATCGTTGATTTTTATTGTTTTTTTTCGATGTTTTCGTAATTTTCGCCTTTTCGGCCTTCCGACGCTCCAAGACAGCCCAAGAAGCTCCCAAGACTGCTCCAAGACGGCACAAGAGGCCTCCACGACGCCCCCAAGACGGCCCAAGAGAGCCCCCAGACGGTCCAAGAGCCGCCCAAGGCGGCCCAAGAGAGCCCCCAGACGGCCCAAGAGCCGCCCAAAACGGCCCAAGAACCTCCCGGAGACGGGCCCAAGAGGGGCTCCAGAGAGAGACCACGCACCAGAAAACCCAGCCTTACGCCCCAAGAGGCCCTCAGGAGCCCCCAAGACGTTCCAAGAGGCGCCCAAGAAGCCACAAAGAGGCCCCAAAACGGCCCCCCAAGAGCCTTCGAAACTGCCCCAAGAGGCCCGCAAGAAGCCCCCCCGCAAGATCCCAACGGACATTTCCGGACACACCGGTCTTTCGAGTCGCGCCCAACCCCATAACCCGGAGCCTCATCTCAGTGTCCCCCTCCTCCTCCTCTTCCTCCTCCTCCTCCTACTGACCTATTGACCTGCACTAGAAGGTGGGCTCCCTGCGCGCCAGGGCCCTTCTGAAAATGACTCACGAGATTATCTTCTCTCGTGGAAGGCCACAGCGGGTCGCAACCTGCGTTCTTAAATGGGCAAGTTGTCCCACGGGCCATTCGAGAAGCCCTTTAGGCTTCTGTCCCTGCAACAACCGACGAGACGCTTTGATCCCCGTACTTGTTGGCTTTTCGCAAGGACCTGAAAGTTTGGTGGCTCGAGAGGCTGCCCACCCCCCACACTTGGAACAGAACACCACCCCTTTTACCATACATATGTTGGGGTGGTGGGAGGGGTGGACTTCAAATATATATTTCCTGGGTAAGCACACCTGCGAAACCCATCCTGGAGAAGGCGTGACAGAAAAAGCAGCACAGCGGGTACAACTTGTGGTACCCCCCCCTTTGATGATACAGTGCGGGCTCATCTCGGCTTCTCGAAGCCGTCGGGTTTTGGCACTTTTCGGGACCTTCTGCTGCTTTAGATTGGGGCCGTATTTCCAGTTAAGATCTTGGATGCATGCAAGACGGGATCTGATCAGCTGCATCTCCTTATCCCTGGCCTGGACCTCCAAAACCTCCTCCTCCGTGAATCCGAAAAACTCGGCCGCTCTGCGCGCAACGGCGTCGGCGGCGGCGTTGGCAATGTAAAAGTCGGGGCGCACGGTGCCATCGCTGATGTCGCTCAACGTGGCGTGCGCCTTGGTCTTCTTAAAGGCGACGTGATGGGTCCTGTCATTATAGGCCTGCCAAAAGAGAAGCCACAAGTCGGTGTTACTTTTATGTTTCCACTGCTCACCCCTGCGGACGCCTTTCATGAGATAGTCACTGTCGGTAACGATGACGATGGGCCCTTCAAGGGCCAAGGCATATATGGCAGCAGTAAGTTCACCTCGGTTGATAGTTTGGGCTCCTGCGGCAAGACCATATAGGGTTCCCTGGGCCCAGTTATCACGTCCCATGAGAACAAGTCCCCATCCTACTCGTCGAAGGCGGGGGTCAGCAGAGAACTTTCCACCTGACCCGTCCGTGCCCACGCCGACTTTGGTAGTCCTCTCTTGCACGCGCCGCTGCACTGATAAGCCTGGCAACTGCGCGCTGTGAACCCGAGTTCCTCGCAGCTTCTACACACCACTTTAGCTCCTTTCGCCGCTCGATGATGTTCCACTTGCTTCTGCTTCAAATGTTCGTGTCCGAGAACGCGCCTTTGCACGCCGCGCACGTCAGCGGCTTCGCGAGCCTCAAGACAGCCCAAGAAGGCCCCAAGAGAGCCCCAAGGCCAGCCCAAGAGGGGCCCAAGAGGGAGACCACGAAGCGGAAAAAACAGCTTTCCGCCCCAAAAGGCCCCCAGGAGGCCCCAAGAGACCCCCAAGAGGCCCCAGGAGGCCCCCAAGAGGCCCAAAAAAGGCTACAAGAAGCCCCAAAACAGCTCCCCAGGTGCCTCCAAACTGCCTCCAGCAGGCCCCCGAGAGGCTTCTCGCGAGATCCCAGCGAATATCTGAGAGGCCTCTGAACCACAACTCAGACACGGTGGCGGGATGGGCCGACTACTGGGAGGAGGAGCAAAGACGACGACGATAGGAATGCGGGGGATAAAGTCGGGCCATGACGCCCCCAAGACGTCCAAGATTGCCTCAAAAAAAAAAAATCCCGGCAAAGCAACCTAACAGCGATGTGTAGAAGCATATCTGAAAGCATTCCCCTTAAGATTCAGATGAAAATCCAGTTTTCGAATTCTGCTGTTCTCGCAGTCGTAGTCGCATTCGCGATGACAGTCGCAGCGGCAACGGCAGTCGCAGTCACAGCCTCAGCCTCAGCCTGCCTCCTCCTCCTCCTCCTCTTCCTCCTCCTCCTCCTGCTCTCTCCTCCTCCTCCTCCTCCTCTTCCTCTTCCTCCTGCTCGTCCTCGTTCTCGTCCTCCTCGTCTTGCTCGTCCTCCTCCTCCTGGTGTTCTCTCCTCCTCCTCCTCCTCCTCCTCCTCCTCCTGGTGGTCCTCGTTCTCCTCCTCCTGGTGCTCTCCCCCCCCCCCTCCTCCTCCTCGTCCTCCTCCTCCTCTTCTCCTCCTCCTCCTCCTCCTCCTCCTCCTCCTCCTCCTCCTCCTCCTCCTCCCTCTCCTCCCCTCCTCCTCCTCCTCCTCCTCTTCCTCCTGGTCGTCCTCGTTCTCGTCCTCCTCGTCTTGCTCGTCCTCCTCCTCCTGGTGTTCTCTCCTCCTCCTCCTCCTCCTCCTCCTCCTCCTCCTCCTCCTCCTCCTCCTCCTGGTGGTCCTCGTTCTCCTCCTCCTGGTACTCTCCCCCCCCCTCCTCCTCCTCCTCCTCGTCCTCGTCCTCCTCCTCCTCCTCCTCCTCTTCCTCCTCCTCCTCCTCCTCCTCCTCCTCCTCCTCCTCCTCCTCCTCCTGGTACTCCTCCCCCTCCCCTCCTCCTCCTCCTCCTCCTCCTCCCTGGTCGTCCTCCTCCTCCTGGTCGTCCTCCTCCTCCTGTCGTCGCTCCTCCTCCTCCTGGTCCCTCCTCCTCCTGCTCGTCCTCCTCCTCCTCCTGCTCGTCCTTCTTCTCCTGCTCCTCCTGCTCCTCGTCCTGCTCCTGCTCGTCCTCGTCCTCCTGGTCTTGCTCGTCCTCCTCCTCGTCGTGCTCTTGCCCCTGCTGAAAATGTGGCCCAGGAATCGGAGTTCTGGGAAGTCGAAAAGCACGAAGTTGCCTACAGTTCGCTACGGGCATTCAAAATGTGGCCCGGGAATGGAGTTCTGGGAACTCGAAGAGCACGAAGTGGCCTACAGTTGGCTCCGGGCATTCAAAATGTGGCCCGGGAATGGAGTTCTGGGAACTCGAAGAGCACGAAGTGGCCTACAGTTGGCTCCGGGCATTCAAAATGTGGCCCGGGAATGGAGTTCTGGGAACTCGAAGAGCACGAAGTGGCCTACAGTTGGCTCCGGGCATTCAAAATGTGGCCCGGGAATGGAGTTCTGGGAAATCGAAGAGCACGAAGTGGCCTACAGTTGGCTCCGGGCATCCAAAATGTGGCCCGGGAATGGAGTTCTGGGAAGTCGAAGAGCACGAAGTGTGTGACTGTTGCATCCGGCCCTCCAGAATGTGGCCCGGGAATGGAGTTCTGGGAACTCGAAGAGCACGAAGTGTGTGACTGTTGCATCCGGTTATTCTAAAAGTGGCCCGGGAATGGCGTTCTGGGATCTCGAAGAGCACGAAGTGTGTGACTGTTGCATCCGGTTATTCAGAATGAGCCTGGGAATGGAGTTCTGGGAACTCGAAGAGCACGAAGTGTGTGACTGTTGGTGAAAAACGAAGTGGACACAACCCGCCCGGCAACT